ACTGTTTAACATGACCAAATTGTGCATTAACGAATTAAATGGAAGTGTTGATTAAAATAATATGATAAAATTAATGTAATACAATGTATATTTTTGTCATTATTTATTTTTTTACAGCAACATTTGGAAAATATCCWTACTTTGTCCATCGTACACGCAATCATATGCTACCTGTGTATCTTAAAGTTTCCATGAGAGGAACAAGACGGATAACTCAAATAAACAATGTAGATGGTAACATATGGGTATTAGAAGAGGCCATAAAAAAATACTTGACAAGAATATATGGCGATAAGAAAATAATTGCTACTAAAGTCCATGAAGTATGTGGTCATTTATGTATTCATGGTGATCATGTATCTAGAGTTAAAGAATGGTTACTGAAGAAAGGTTTGTAAAAAAAATAATAATAGAATATACAAAAAAAAAGATGTAATATAAAAATCAATTTACAATAAAATATATGTAAAAATAAACTAAAATTGCACTTTGACTTAACATATTGTTAAATGATTTATAACTATACTTTAAAATTTAGATAACATAATACAAGAAACACAAATATAGGAAGTAGAAAATAACTACTAGTTACTACTGTTAATACTGAATTACAATATGAGCAAACAAATCTAATAGTACGAGAACATTAAATAACAGTGACGTTATAGGTCAACTCTTTAATAGGCAATCATTTGGGCAGTAATCTAAATATGATTGTGTAAAATAAACATGGCAATTTAAATTAAAATAATGGTTAAGTATAAGTATTTAAGAAAACACAWAAACTATGATAGGTGTCATTGATTTAGAATTCTTACAATGTAACTCGAAATATTAAACTTTTGTAGTTAATGCCAAAAATGAAATATAATTAAACTTCAGTTTTAGGATATGCGTATAACATCAATCATCGTCAATAACAAATCCAACACGCCACTGTTTAGTAATACTGTTAATGTAGATAATAAATTAAAATTTTAGTTTAAATTAATTAAACACACAGATTACAATTATTTTTGGGTACACTAAAAACTAAATTATATGATCGTATAAATATAAATTCTTAATCTAAATCACATAAGTACCCTGCATAACTAAAAACAATTTAAAAAAAATAGTTAACAAACAAATAAGAGAAATTATTAAAAAATCAATACTGATAATTTTACACAAAATATGCAATTATTTAATTATGAAAAATCTGACTGTGTAATTAAAGTATACACAAAATAGTTCTTCACATAGATAAAACTGAGTTGTTATAAATTATAATTATAAAAGTATCTTATCAATGAGCAATTTATTGGCAGGACTTTGCATTCAGTCTTGTAGATTTCCATCTTATCTGTGTGTTTATAAAACTACCTTCAGTCTGAAAGATGTACACCGTTATTAATTTGAAACAACATTGTATCCAGCAATGGTTTCTGGACATTTACTTCAAACATAGTTTTCATCTTTTGCTTCTTTAGAATGCCATGTTCTTGGCGTTTCTATAGGCAAGGGCATAGCTCGTCTGGGCAGTGAATTAATTTCGCTTTCAGAACAATTGTTATTATGATTTGCCAAATAAGAGATTTCTATAGCATTCTAAAAATAAACAAATTTTATAATCTAATGAAAATTGGTAATCCATAAAATAAAAACATACTTTAGCATCTGGAGCAAGTGGATTACTAGTAATGTTAATTGGATGAATRACATATCCATTGGGTGGATGAGTATGCCCATGTGTATTCTCAGAGGCCATTGGCAAAGTACATCCATTAATCATTTTACCATTTTTTAGGGCAAATCCATTCATTGATAATGGCTCTAGTCCTGATACTGCTTCAGAACTCTTGTTCAGCTCTAGAAATTAAATATAATATTGCAATAAATTGTGAAAATATTAGTAATAGTTAAAGGTTTTAAAAAAAAACAATAATTTACCTGGAGAGTTGGAGTTTAATGACAACCGTTTGCTATATATGCATACGGTAAAAAATATWAGTAGTATAATAGCTCCAATTACAGCAGCTACTGCACCAAGCAAAACATAGAGTGACTTCACACCACCGATTGTTGAATATACATTATTATTATTTGCAACATTATCTGGTACATTGTCTGTCCACTTTGGAGTATCTGTACTTGTCTTAGGTTCTCCTAAAAAATTTAATTTTTGTAATATTTAATAATATAATATAATGTTAATATAAAATATAACTAATATAAAAACTTRTACATTATGCATTTTTATGGATTTATTTAACTTACTATTTTTGATTTAAGGTACAAGGGTACATACCAAATGTTTTGTGTGTGAGTATGGTGCTAAAATTGGAAGCTTCATGTACAGTAAAACTTTGTAATTTTAAATCATATGAAGTATCTGGGGTTAAATGTGTAACAACAAAGACACGGGTATCTTGACCATCTACAATGGCTTTGGTGTAATCACCTGCAGTACTAGTAGCTCGATAATAGACATAGAACCCTTGAACTGGAGCTAATACGGAATTTAGGTACTAAAAATAAAACCATCAACTTTTAATTAAAAACTTTGAAATAAACATATATTTTTTATCATGATATAATACTACATACCTCCCATTCTAATAATATAGAAGTACTATCAACGGCTTTGGCTGATACTAAAGTTGGAGGTATTAAAGATCTATTAGGTGGTCCTTTACTCAAAAAGAAACGTTTTGAAGTTGGACCAGATTTATTATCATCATTTGAATACACTGCAGCTATTTTAAATCTGAAACATAATTAAGATTTATAATCAGTTGTAAATTTAATTTAATAAAATTACAAAATTAAGTACAATGTCTAAATTTTTTTTAAACTCTATCGTAAATAAATTAGCTTATTCTAAAACTGCGTGTAAATAATAATATATTTAAAAAATTGTAATTAAGTCTTCAACAAAAATTTAATTTGCTGAAACATCGAATGTTTGTTGAAAAAGTATTTKATTTAGGTTAATTATAAAAATATATTTTGTTATGATTGTATATTAGTAAACCTAAGAACCCAATATTGTTGTGTTGAACACTTACACATAATCGCGATCAGGTAATAACTTGTCCACTTGATAACATCGAATATGCATTTGTATATCATCACTGCTTGTATTCCAACTTCCTCCAACTTCTTTGTACTGCAATTTAAAAAATCGAATTTGCAGTCCATCATTTGGTGGAACAAACCATCGTACCATCACTGAATTTTCTGTTAACCTAGTTACATTTGGTTGTGAAGGAGGAACCATTTCTATCAAAATATAAAGCATTTAAAACAATCAATGGATTATATAGACCGTATAATATTTTATAATTTAACATACCATTTCCTTTTTTTTTTTTATCTTTCTTTCTACCTTTTCCTTTATGGTTTCTGTCTTTTCGGTCTCGTTGAGGAGATCGTGTTGTAGAATCTAATAAAAATATAGTATTAATTTTTATTGGATATTTACAATAAAACAATACATCCATAATCCATTTCTAGTTTTCATTATTTTGCATATTGAATTTCCAGATTTACAGTATAAAGTATAAACAAAATACAAATAAATAGAGTACAGCAATGATAGATATATCAAAATATAATAACTAAAGTAACACAAAACCCTGAAAACTAACTTTCTACATAATATGGAAAAACTGATGAAGTTTTAACTAATTTAGTTTTTTTAACTAATTTGTCTCACAATCAACTATATTTCTAATTTAGTTAATCGTCAGGTTTTTTACTTTGTGCTAGCCAATATATCCAAGCCTTTCCAGAAATATATGCTAGATAGTGTGTTWTATGATTGAGATAAAATCAGTCTATTACAATTGCGGTYGTGTTTTTGTATTGAAAAGTCAGTAAGTTATAATTACGGTTTTGAACTTAATGCTCTTAAAATGTACTAAATATGAATTTAATGTACTTATGTGTTTAAAAAAATACAAATATAATTTAAAAATATAAGTTGTATATGGATATTGTATTTGGATAAAATTTCTAGCATGCTATTTGTAATGTGCACAATGAAATTATATAATGTACCTTATATATCTAAATATAATTAAAATTTTTTTATTTATTATTTTATTAATAAAACAGGATTTGGAAAACAAGATACAAATAAGTTGTTAGTGAACAAGTCAAATCTAAAATTATTCCTATGTGAAAACTGAACTTCTATTATTGAAAACTGGTGCTGTGCAAAATTGTACTATTTTTTTTTTTTTTTTTT